ATATTTAATTCTCTCTTTTATGATATTATATTATTATAATTAATTATGACAAATAATGAATTATTAGTATGTAATATAATATTAACAGTATAGATATAAAATAATAGAGAGAGTAATACATTTTATTAGAAAAAATAAAATAGAATCAACATTGTTTTATTATGTTTTATACTTTTTCTCTTATTTGCATTTTAATTGAAATTTCCCTATTGAATGTTAGAATATCAGTTAGTTAAATTACACGTTAGTATAAAACTTGTTCGAGTCTATTCACGCCTGGAGAATAATTCAATCGGCTGTGGAAGACGGTCGGGCGGTCTCATTTCCCAAATGAAGCTAGCGACTGGTATATTACATTTAATCCGGCTCATTTTGTGTCTCGAGAGTCGAGTCCTCGAAATGTCTCTCGAAATTCCTATGGGGATGATGGCTGAGATTAACGCGAACCACCAGATATGCCAATTTGTAGCTCGTTTCTCGAGATTACGACATTCTTCGTTACTTTCTTCTTCTTCTTATTTTCATATTTCTTCGTATTTTTTTCCATACCTTTTAAGTAATATAAAATGATCAAATTCAAGGATTACCGTTTTATCACAGACGACGAATCCTTAAAATCAATTTAATAACGAACGTATTCACGAGTAAAATATTACAAAATGATTTTTACAGTGTCTTTTCTTATCTCATTCTTCATTTTTGTTTTTCCTGATCCAAGTATTAAGATGAAGGGATCCGAACGAAAAGAGATATGGATTGACGAGCGAATTCCTTGGGTGAACTATTTCTCTCTCTCGAACAGTCATCTTTTTTCACCCTTATTGAGCTGTCACATCCATAACCGAGTCTTCATCCCTGTGAATCCTTCTCAGAATTCACTTCGTGGTTTAACAAACTGAATTCATCAAAGTTGACATCTATTGATCGTTTACATTAGTTTGTCTTCTGCACAATTTGTTCACCAGAGATCAGATTTACTATATTCGATTTTTTTTTCTCCTTTTTTTAGATATAACATTTACATTTAACTAAAGGATTCTTTCTAATAAGTTTGTTCAAATAATTAACGATGAAAATATATTAACCGATCGTACAAACATATCAGTAATGTGATCGACTAATGGTTAGAGAGTAGAATGAAAGGGCAAAGATAAAAAGATATATTGACATATCCCTCCGATGAGTATCAAGAAAGCTGTAGGACCATGCCAGGATATTCGCTATATTGACAGGAGAAATCCCGTGCTAAATCATCCGTCACCCTAAAGTTCAGCCCGGTGGCATGAACTTAAGTCCCTGTCTGTCTGTCTACCGTCACTCAAGGACACGTTACGATCACGCCCCCTTTTACCACAAGGCTCTTTCGCAAAATGGAGTATTATCTGAGGTTAATCGTATTTAAAGGGTCGAATTTATTAAAAAGACAATGTTTTAAATCGACGAGAGTTAGACATTAGAGCTAATTGTCGTCAATAATTGATACTGAAAATGAATCTCCTTAAATACATTTTTATCTAATATCTATCGCGAATCAATGAAAACTATAAAAAGAATGAATTCTCTAATGCGTTAGATAATTTGAATAAAAGAAAAATAGGATCGAGAAAAAGAAAAAGGTTTGACAAGGAAAAATAAGTTGACCTAATAAAAAGGATTATTGGGAAATAAGATAGGAAGAGGGAGAATAAGAAGAAAGGAGAAGGGTAAAGAAAAGTACTACATGGTGGAAGTCGAAGGTGGCTGGCTCGATGCGGCGCGCGTTGCGACGAGCCACGCAAAATTCTTTTGCAACCCTCCCTTGCAATTCTTCGTTCGACGGAAGCTGGAGAAGCTTCCCACCAGCAGCAAGAATAACGGCACGGCACGACTACCACTCCGTTTCAGGATCGCCTCTTTCCGTCCTTCTTCGCCCTCTTTCGTCGTTCCCGGTAGCATCCCCTCTTTTTCTCTCTTCCTCTTTCTATTCATCCTCTCTCTTTATCTTCATTCCATCGTGGATTCCATCCTGGAACACGGCCTCTCTGCGTTTCGCAGGAGGAACATGGCTCCCAGGCAGGATCCATCCGTATAGCAGCCACCTCTCTTTCTCCTTTACTGGAAGAGCTGTCCCACCCCGTTACCGCTTGGCCCCTCGTTGCATTTTAAATCAAAGCCCCGGAGGTAACGCAATCACCAGGCATCACGACGCTTCCACAATTTTCTACTTTAAGCTACTTTATGTATTAGTACCTACCTTTCTGCCTCCGACCGTTTCACCGACCCCTCTCCTCTCATCTCATCTCATCTCATCTCATTTCATTTCATCTCATCTCATCTCATCTCTACTCTTCTATCTCTCCCTCCTCTTCTTTCTTCTTGTTTCTGGTACATCGTTCAACCGAACAGTCTTTCCAGCATCACCACCACTACTACTATCACCACCACAGTTATGTTAGTCTACTTCTCTCTCCTCGCCACAACGCTTCTTCTTCTTCTTCTTCTTCTTCTTCTTCTTCCTCTACTTTTTCTTTCCATCTTCCTCCGTCTAGAGTCGATCTTGTACGCTTCGCTGGTTCCTCCCGCCGCTGAAGAGAAGACTCTCCGCATAACGCTCAACCCTCTTCACTTCTCATCCAACAGCTACCTAACAAGGTTATTTTATTAAACAACCTCCGTTATTCGCTCGCTAATATAGCTGGATTCTACGTAGGAAGCACTATTGGACGAGCGAAAATTCAACAAACGACCGGACGATTGTTAATACATCTATACTCTGTCTATGTGTTCTCATTGCATGTTGCGCGGGTGTCGTGTGAACTTTGGGGGATGTGATTTTTCTTGTATAAATATACTACCCTACGTTAATTATTTTATCATTTAACTGTTTAAAGGATTTAATAATATTACGAAAAACAAAGGAAATTCTTTTGGGTGATTGTAAAATGATCTAGTCGATCTCTGTTGTGGCAGATTAGATGAGTTATTAATGAAGCGAATATTGTCAACATGTACAGACACGTTGACGAAGCAACGACGATAGTGAGATGGATAATTGAACATTTTCGGGACACCCCGTTACAAATTGGATGGATAGAGAGAGGGAGAGAGAAAGATGAAATGAAAGAGGGTAGGAGTGAAGGAGAGGTTCTGGGGATAGTTAGGTACATGCGATGTAGGTATAGGGTGGTAGCATGTGGCATGTAGTTCGCAAGCGTGGCGCGGTGTAATCCAGTCACCACGTAACGCGATTATCCTCCTAACTCGGTCTCTTCCTCTCTTCCTCTATTTCTATCCCTATCTCTATCTCTCTATCACAGTTCGGTCGGTCGCGCGCGCGCACCCTCGGCACCATCCTATCTTCCTTCCCTTTCTATCTCTTGTTGGAAACCCGAGTATCCCTCGAGGGTATAGAGAGAGAGAGGATAGACGAGAAGAACTAAAACCTGCGCGTGGATAAGTGCGTATTCGATAGATATCATTGAATATCTAGTTGGGCTATTTATTCAATCAGTAAAGGTAACCATTGTTGTAGAGGTAATCAGCTTTCGTTTTTCACTTCGATTTGGTTATTATTCTTTTTTCTTCTTTTGCCGCGTTTTGGAAAGTTAAGTTGAGATGCGACCGAAAAATCGACACCACGAACTTGTCGATATTTACGATGCGCGGGCAAATTCATGTTATTTTTGAGGTTATATTCGTTTTTGTACGCTAAAGAAGAATAACTTCTTATTTTTTATACTTTTTTCATCCCTTTCTGATTTAAACAGACACGAAGAGGAACTCGGACGAACGAACGAACGGGGACGATCCCTTCGAATCAAGAACGGATTTAATTTGACGGGTTTCATTCTTTATGCATGCTAAATTCGAACTTTTCATCGACTTCTTGTATTTTTCCTTCTTCTTTATTATTTTTTTTGTTTTCTTTTATAATACGTCTCTCCATTTACTTTTCTTATGTTTTCTTGTTTTATATTTATTATTGTATTGCAAGACAATATGGAATACACGGTATCCATCGATCTTTCAAAATAAGTGACAATCTCGTGAGTTATTGAATTCCGCAAAAGTTTTGGTATCTATTTGATACCGAGAGGAGTTGTTGGAAATGAGATTTTCGGGATCAGGCTTGAAAGAAAGAGAGAGAGAGAGAGAGAAAGCTCGAAAGCTATGCCAAAGAAAATAGAAAGCATTGAAATCGAATAAGTAAATAAAAGAAATATTTAAAAGAAGAATAAATAAAAGAAGAAACGATGCGTGAGATAAAAATGTGAAAAGAATATAAGAAAAAAAAAGAAAACTTAACGTAATAGGGGGGTATCGACAAGGATCTTATAAAAAAGAAAGGATGATTGTATAGTACGGTATAATACGGTGGTCGGAGATAGAAAAAGCATCCAATCTTTCTAACGGAATGAATAAGAAACTTAGAGACGTGGATACACCTGATACATAAGAGAATCGTTCTGAGCGAGGGGTAAACACGATTTACACTATGATGACTATCATCCCCATTTTTCTTTTTCTCTCGTCGAAAGAGAAAAAGTCCAAACCCAAGCCCGAACCATACTACTGTACCCAGAAAGTAGAGGAAGAAGAAAGAAAGAAAGAAAGAAAAAGAGAGAGAGAGAGAGGTAGGAGGCGGAAAAACATGAGAGAAGACTACTAGAAGAGAAGTAGGGATGTTTGTCGTACGCGTTATTTGCCCAATAAAACCACGTGGTGGGCTACGCGGTAGCAGGCTCGCGTACTCACGACGACGAACGAACGAACGAACGAAGGAAGGAAGAAACAAGGAGGGTTAGACGATCAACGTGGTTGAAGTTAAGGATGGGGCGGAGGATAAGGTAGAGGAGGAAGATAAGGACGGAGAATAAGAGATAGAAAAAGAAAATGATATAAGAATTGGGCGAGGGAGGGGTTGGGGTTGGGGTTTTCGATGAGATACGGAAAGCGAGAAAGAGAAAGAATGAGAAAAGGGACGGAAATAAAGACCGGAGAGGGGAAGTTAAGCAGAAAGAGAAGGAGAGACCAAGAGAAATCAGAGACCACGCCTTAGGAGCCGGTCGGCGCCTGCGTGGTTCCGCCTATCGAGCACGCTTTCCACCGTCAGCTTTTGTCCGCAGGGACGATGATATCGTCCGTGACACCGTACGCGAACGCACTACCGAGCTGGATCCCATTCGTACGGATCTCATTCGATCACGCATTACGTACACTTTACCGAGTTGTTATATTTTTATTAGCATTTATACACACACAGATACACGATCTATAAGTCATTTATTTATATTTAGTTCGCGCGTCCAAATTCTATTATACGACGGTATAGATTCGGTATAGATATATTCTTTTTCAAGATAATATAGTTCTTTTTTTTTATTAATTGCGAATATTGACCCTTCGATACTGTGTGAATTTTATTATTATTTAATAACAAGTCAAAATTCTTCTGCTATCTCGAGAGAAGTCTTTATTGTTGTTTGTCGTCTGTAATCCAGGTGTTACTTGATAATTGGTTATCATCCACAACGAAGATGCAAAGATATCCACGTGAGCGACTTTGTTACTTTGATATCTGAAGATTATTTACATTGGCATACAGCTGGCACTACTTCGTTCAAGATAAAATGTTCTACGAACGATCTATGATCTAATGATTCTATTTCCGATGAATGAAATGTTGTTAACCACTACGATTTTTCAAGATACTGTAAGATTATTTTTCAAATATTCTTTGAAGAACGCATTTGAACGATACGAAGAAGATATAGAGGATCTCGATAGAAGATTAAATTCGATGAGTGAAGATTAAAAAGAAAAATTAAACAAAAAATACGGACAATTCGAGGAAGAAATTGTAATAACACGCGGACTGATTCGCGCGCTTTCGTGCGCCATTGGATTCGCGCTAAGGGCGCGAAAATCCTACTAGTTCCGCAAACTTGCGGAGGAGATCGGGAAAGTGTTGTTCAGCCACGAGTCCAGGATTCTCACCCCCGGAGGCGGCACCATCTCGCCCGGGGGCGCGGGGCCACCCGCGAGCCCTTCTTCGGGACACTATCGTCAACAAACGCACAGTCCACCCTTGGTCAAGGTAAATCTAACTTTACATTATTCTTATTTACCTTTTACGATTATTATTTATTTCTTCAAATGTGTGTGAACGACACATTTTGATTTGATTTGTTTTTACTTCAATAAGAATTTCTTCATTTTCTGTGTGATATTTTTGAGAAACGTGTTTCGGTATTGTCCGTCCGTCGGATTCCTTGAAAACTATCGTCCGAAAACAAAACTCAATCCGTCGCTATAAAACGTCGCAAAATTCCTACAATTTTATGTTCGCCAAGAGTCTCGTTGCGCGTTCATTCCCCAAGAGATTGAATAATGGTCCGGAAGAGACGCTTGCTTTCAGTCTAAATATAGTCGCTTTATTCATGTAATCGTAACGCGTAGTTAAATCGTTGATTTTATTCAAGTCTATGCGCGAAACACGGTAAGATAATATTCTTGATTGAGATTACCTACATTCAATATTATTCCAAAGGATTCGCTAATTTTTCTTTCAACAGAGAATATTCGATATAACTCTTTGAAATAAACATGTTACGATACGTTGTAAACGTATCCGTTATAAACGTAAAACGATTTTTCTGCAGTGATAGAAATAGGAAAACAAAAGTAGGAAAAAGAAAACTATATGAAATGAAAATAGCGATTAGGAAGTAGTTTGAGTAACATGATTAGAATAGAAAGAGAAAAATAGAGAATCCAAATGAAGTATACTCGGATGTATCTTTTTTAAGATAAATGCGATACAACAGGTAAATATTATCGCATTGAAGAAAAACCATTAGAAAAATAGTGAAAACGTAACTTTATGAATGAAAAATATTAGCTTGAGAAATAAATTATAGAAAGGAGTGGGGGAAAGAAATGGGATAGAGATTCAAAATCAAGGATAGCCATATCTTTTCAAAACAATCGCAATACGATAGGTATCGCCATAATAAAAAAAAGGATGTTCATTTTTCTTATGGTCACGTAATGACAAGAGGATTTATATTGAGTAGGAGAAATGTGAAGAGGGAAAAAGTTAGGAAAAAGAAAAAAAATAGCAAGAAAGAAGTAGATTGAGATGCGACCGAGGACAAAAAGTGAGAAGAAGAAATAACGAGAGAAATAAAGAAAAAAAAGAAGAGAAGAGAAATAAAGGAGAAGAAGTGAGGCCGACGATGATGGGTATAAGGGCGGTTGTCGCGGCTCGTTTTCGTCAGGCAACAGAGGGAAATCCCCCGGGGTGCCAGCCGTGCGGCAGCTGTCTACGGCGAAAGCTCTCCTTAGAAGAGAGAAAGCTCGTTGGAATTTAACACGGAACGATTCTTATGCTTTCAGGATTCTTATATATTTCCTGATATGTGTGTGTGTTCATCTTTCATTGTCTGATATCACTCGACTAACTCGTACGAGACCCCTAAGATTATTCTATTTAATGCATATAGCTTATTCATTTCAAATTATCAAATAAAAAGAAATAAATAAACTATAGAGAGAAAAAACGTTCGTCGGAGGAAATGCAGTCGTGAATGGTGGTGCAAGTTAATAATATTCTGATTAATGCGTATCGATTTTTGCTTTCAATTCTAAATAAAAGGAAAATAAGTATAAAAATATATAATATCACTGAAAAATAGGGATAATTGGTTATCGAGTTTTTGCCATAAAAAAAGGATTGAAGGGTATAATGCGGCCCTGTTTGGGCACACGCGCTACCGTCCGATATTTTCGTTGTGATTAAGCTCAATTCACTGTTCCTTTTTCTCTTTTTCTCTTTCACTAAAGAAGCAAAGCTAAAGAGAATACGTCGCGTTAAACTGCCGCAGCGTTGTTCGCTCGCGCTGTCTGCCATCCAATCCTGCCAACTTAACCTCATTAATAAATTAATTAGATATTATTGTGTTGGCAGCCAGGGAGGCAGCTGCGGGTCTCAGTCTCTTCGCTTTCTTCTCTACGTTTATTCTCTTTCCACTGTCTCTCTTTCTCTCTTTCTTTCTTTCTTTCTTTCTTTTTTTTATTTCATCTTCACAACCGAACGAACCCGCAGATGATGCTTAGAAACCATGTTCGCGAGGTCGAGACCCGTGACGTCATTTTTTCTCGGGACGACAATGCGTCTATATGCTTCTTATGCCTATTTGCTACCCGCACATTATTTTTTTTCTTCAACCTCTTGCGATCATGATCTTAAGCGTTTCCCTTTCGAATGATCTCCTTCACGAGCTTTTAATTTCCTATTATCACTTTCAAATCGAAATCACGTTTAAATATATATATATGTTTATTCAATTATTTAATATATTATATTGATATATAGGGTTTCCCGGTACGATTACGCCGATTTATAAATATATTTTTTAATATACATATATTTAGCTAATATATTAGTATTGGATTCTCTGGAAAATTCATGCCGATTTTGTATGAACCGCTTTGGTAGTATTGGATAGATATGAACCTGTTCTAACCCAAAAAAGTAGAAGTAAAAAGACACATTAATAATACTAAAATATATATTTGTGTGTATTAAAATAGTGAAATATTGAATTACGAGCAAATATTGATTGTTTTAAAATGACAAATACAAATACTTGTATATCAATTTATGTAGATATAACTGTACAAATAACTATATATCAATTTATGTAATTTGTGTTCGATGAACGATAAAGTCTTGACGATACTAAAGTGATCAAGTTGGAAGAATTAGATTGCGTAGGAAAGAAAAGGTCAACAGTTAGAGAAGGTCGTAGAGCATATCCTGGTCAAGGAGTCGCTCGTCGGGTTGCTGCTCATTACACAGTAGCATAGCGACTGGTAATGACAAAAAGCACATGCAGCATTATCATTGCGGAGTGTATGGCATTAAACTGTAGGGGGCCAGGATTAGGATGTCGGCCATTACCGCGCGTCACTGACCGTTTATTCTACGCCGTGCACAGTGTGGTGACTTCCTCTAGACGCGTATGTATGCCTACATAACCAGAGGATGAGGACATTCGCGAGGTCGCCGTGAGCAACCTCACAAATCATACTTCACCTTTCGATATCGTACATTTTTATTAGAACGAATATCTTAGACCTATGCTTACTAGGGTTTTTTTTTTGTATATTAAAATTGCGAGTTAAAAAGCTTTTTTTCTACGAAAAGAAAAGAAAAATCTTTTCGCGAATAAAATGAATTTTTGTATTAAATTGCCAACAACAAAACAACAGATAACTAAATTGACCGATGTTCGGTAAATTCAAAACGATATTACCTAGATATTATATATGTTCACGGATACATATATGTAAATATATAAATATATACATGCATATGTGTGTTGTATAGCGTACCAAGAGAGGTCTTTTACATGCTAACGGCTCGCGTAGGCGTAAAAGGGAAGAAAATTAACTGTAATAAGCAAATTATTTAATATAAGAAACGCCGGCACGGTCTCGTGCATGCAGATACATATTACAGTTGGATACAATTTACAATTTACAATGTAATTCGTAGGTATAACAATATAACTTAGAGCAGTTGTAACGAAAATGTATTTGCATATCGAACAAAATTTATGATATTTTAGTTATACGCCCGTTACTACTCGTAAATATCATTTCTCGCGTCCACAAGGCACCGCGTGACGAGGGAGAAAAAGAGTGAGAAATATTGAGGAGAGGGACAAACTCGGAAAGATATTTTATCTCGTACGCGCGAGAGCCGGGGTTCCTGTCGGAAGATGGTGAGCGATTTTAAACGACGTAGGCTAATTTCACGATTGGAAGTGATTATCACGATGATTGATCGCCCCTAAGCACTCTGATTGCCCTTAAATTGATGTAACCGTGTAGAGAGATAGAGACGAAGAGAAGAAAAGAGATGTAGAAAGAGAATGAGAGATATAGAAAGAGAGAAAGAGAGAGAGAGGTAGAGGGAGGTAGGGAGAAAGAGGGGGAAAGAGAGTTATGTTTGCATCTGCAATTGAGCATTTCATTCCCGCGGGTATGTTTGGAAAAACTTTCCGTATCCGGTAACGTCGGGAACACCGAAATTGGCCCTTAATCGCGGTGGCGCCACGCGGCCATGAATAATTGGTCGCGTCAGGAACGAATTCGACGACGGATAATGCAGCAATCCACGAATCGGCGCCTATCATTTATTCAATGGCTCGTAGCTGGTCGCGGCCGAAGCCGTGGATTTGCAAATAGCATTAACTTGCGCCCGCGCGCTACCCGTTTGCGCACGTGTGCACGAGAGCTAGTGGGAGAATAAAAAAAGAATGACTTCAAAATGAGAGAGAAGATATTTGCGGTCGAGGATCAAAGCGTAACAACAATTTCGTAGCGTCGTCACCACCGGGGCTTCTTCCTAAATACCTTTTTTTCTCTCATTCTTCCTACACCTTTACCTTCCTACAATTCTTTATTCTTTTACTTCTTTTGTTATTTTATATCTCATTAATATAATCCAAGCATGGTAGTAAATGTTTCGTAACGCGACTGTAAATACATTTGTTCTAAATTTGAGATAGGGAGAGTGAGTTTCCGAGCCCTGTACCTCTGACGATTTATTATTATTTTATCGTAAAAATAAATAAAAAGGGAAAAGGTAAAAAAAAAAAAAGAAAAAAAAAAGAAAAATGATGATCGTTTTCATTGGATAGTTGTATCGATCTATCGATAGATAGATCTATCGTAATTCGATAGATCCTAACGAAGAATATTCGATACTTTACCGCCGAGCTTCGCTCACTTTAACAAACTTCGTTTCAGTTTTTCTCTCGCGTTCCTACGTATCCACCAAGGATCCCACCAGGGGTAGAGAAAAAAAAAAAAATAAATAGAGGAAGAGAACGATTTATATGCTCTCCAATTTTCCGTTCATCCTGCATACCGAAATAAGCGGGTTAACGTCGGACGAAATAGAATTTCTATCTGGACGATTGCCTTTTCGATTCTCTGGCTTGGACAGTCAGCGCAAGAGATATCAAGAAAAAAAGAGAATATATTGTAAAAGAGAGAGAGAGAGATAGAATCTAAGTCACGATT